GTTAAAATAATAATGTATATAAAGGCTGAGAATTTCCTTAACTCAGTCTTCAGTTTTCTAGTCAGTTTCTTAGTTTTTCAAATTAGTTAGGATTTATTAAGTAATAAAGTTAATATTACAAAATCTTTTGAGTTCCCTGTTTGTTGTATTCATTTTGATAATTGATAAACCAATTGCTCCTATTAACAAGTCTTCATATCACTGTTAATAGTTAAATACACCTCTTTCATAATTGATCGTACTTAATTCCTTCTATGTATAAACCCTTGTATTGTGATTATTTTATCGTGAGAATAGTAATTCTTATAGTTATACTTAATTTTATTATTAGTTTTAATATTATTTTATCCCGTTGTCTTTGTAAATTGTAGAAGGTTTACATGGATAACAATGTACAGTATTTATTAAAATTCATATTTTTCATTGAATATTCTTCTTTAAATACTATATTAATATTTTTTTTTAAAAAAAAACTTGTTAAATGAATATAGTTGATGTCCTCATTATTTATTCAATTATCTTAAACATTGAATATTTATTTATTTATCATCTCTGAATTCTCAAATTTTATATAATTTATTACTGTTTTGCCATTTTCCTGAACTTTCATTCTATGGTAACAATATTTAGCATAAGTGTGATTTTTTTTGAATTTCATTTATGATTTTCTTAATTCAATAACTTTTTATTATCAAAAACCTGTATTTTTATGATTCATTAAAATTGAGTTACTACAAGAATAACTAATATAGATATATTTATTAAAAAAGATAAAAAATATATTTTGTTTTATAATTTACAATATTATTATCATTAAAGTATCATTTAAATTAAATAAAAATTTAGATCTTTAATAATAAAAAACACTAGTATATAGTCTAAATAATAAAATAGATGTTTCGAGCAATTGATACACTATATTATACAATTAACTAAATAGTGAAGAATTGTGTAATATAATATAATTGGATTTCTTTTTTTTTTAGTTTCAACAGAGTCATGCTTTATTAAACAATTTATTTTGCAGTTGATAAAAATTAAACAAATTTATAAAAACTACAAATACATTTAATACAACTGGCTATGGCTAAATTAATAACATAACGGTTTGACTTATTGTTACCTAGTGTTACCTAAAACAACTAATGGTCATGCCCCACCTATCTCTTTTTAACCAATCTGAACAAAAAGTTGCTGGAAAGGAATATTAACCCATTAAGGAGCTATAGATTAGGGAACTGTACACTAACATTTGTACAGAAAAAATTTAAATAGAAAATTAAAAGTAGATAAATATCTGTATTCACTAATATTAAAACTAATTTTTAGAGCAAGAAATTACATGAAACCTTATGCACCTCTCTAATTAGTTTATGAATAATGTCTGTCTTAATTTTCAAACAGTATATAGTTCAAATGTTCACTTATACTATAGACACTAGTTCCTAACCCTTTTACAGCATTAGCCAGATCAGCTAAACCCTTAGACATATTGTCTAATGTTTTAATATATTTGGATCATTTGTTTCTTCTTTCGTTTCTATATCTTTTCCTTTTCTATCTTTATTATTATTTTCTTTCAAGGCTTGATCATATTTATCAAGATGATTTTTAATGGCGGAAAGACTTTTTGCTATATCTGTCAGAACTTTAGCTACTTCTTCCATTCCCCCATGCAACTTTTCAATTTGTGCAGTGAAAAATTATATTTCTCTACTGTGGGAATATTTGGTATAAGTGATTGACAAGAAGAGTTCCAATATAATTAGATTTCTTTTTTTATTTATTTAATTTGAGATAAGAATAATGACTATAAAAAAAATTGATTTATTGGATCTACAATCACATTACAGTCAACTCACTCTACAACGAATTTTGATATAACGAATTTTTTAATATAACGGATATTTGATAGGGTCCCGATTTTTCTATAATAAAAAAATTTGATACAACAAATTTGTCTAATTAATTATGCTATAACATTGTACGAAATTTATCTGGTGATCATATATATTAAATATAGTGAATTTTATAGTTATATCAAATTTTTTTTCTATATAACAAAGGATTTTCAATAAAAATTTCAAATAATTATAATAAAAATTAAGGAGGCATTTACAACTTCTATTGTTACAACTAACAGCAATTTCAGAAGTTATCTTTATCAATCTATAATTTATAATAAAAATAAATAAAATATCTTTTTTTTTATTTTTTATATCTTTTTTCTTTAAAATGTCAAAAAACAAACATAAATTACTTATGGCAATACAAAAAAAAGAAATTTGTTCTAAAAAAAAAATCATCCCCTTTTTTAAAAAACAAAGATTTAGTCAATGAATATGAAGTTAGTGAAAGGATAATTAGTGATATTTTAAAGGTAAAAGACCACTGGCTTGTTATAGATCTTAATTCATATCAGGCTTCTTTACGTCGCAAAAAAAAAATTCTTTTTTCTATTATAGAAGAGGTTTTAACTTTATGGACTGAAGGTGTATCCAAGCAAATATTAATATTACAGATGAAATTCTTTCTTTAAAAGTATCAGAGTTTGCTTTTTTATGTAATGAAAATAAGTTTAAAAGTTCAATTGGATGAATTGATAATTTCAAAAAGTATCATAATTTCAAGTAATATTGTATACATGGAGAAGCATTTAGTGCCCCACTTCAAAATCTTGATGAAATGTATAATAACATTAATCAAATTTTAAAAAATTATGATCTTCAAGATATTTTTAATTGTGATGAAATAGATCTTTTTTGGAAAATGAAACCCAATCGTACAATTTCTAATCAACCAATATTAGGTACAAAACAATCAAAAAATCGTGTGACTGTTTTACTTACTTGCAATATAACAGGAACTGAAAAACTCAAACTATTATTCATTCATAAATATAAAAATTCACGGGCACTTAAACATATAAACAAAAAAACTCTTCCAGTTTATTATTACTGGAATTTAAAAGTTGGATGCAAGTTTCAATCTGGAATAATTACATTAAAAAACTTGATACTAGTATAAGAATGCAAAATAGAAAAATTATTCTTGTTGACAATGCACTGTTGACCGTGATTACCTTTACTAAGCACGATTAACTAACAACTGATAACAGGAAAACTATTGTCCAAAAGATCACAAAGCAATTGGACGAATATGTTACAGT